TGTAAGCTGCAACATATTCAGTGTTTGTTCTTGGGTTTAATTATTAAATAAGTCTGAATGTCTTTGAAGTTTGTACACTGGGAAAAAAACTAGACAAAACATTCACAAATGTAAAGTGACTTTAAAGGTGAATTATGAGGTGAGTGATTTTCACTCAGCCTCATAATCTGAGCCGACCTGTGACAATGAAACTGTCACAGGTCGGCTCAGTAGATCGTGAAGTGAGCGAACACATACCGGCGCTCGCTCACTTCTCGATCCTGTGCCGGCAGAGAGCAGTTACAGGGGAGGGATTGGATTCCCCCTCCTCTGTCCGATCCTCCAGCGCTGACTGGCGGAACGGACGGGGGAGGGGGCTGGTACAGCTGGCTCTGCCTCTAGATAGGCAGAGCCAGCTGTCACTCACACAGCTGGGTGGATCCAGACAGAATTGTCGGGATCCGTTCCGGCTGCGGCATCTCAGTTTACCGCGAGCTGTATACTATCAACCACGGTATGTATCAACCACAAGGCTCTCATGGGCTAGTACAGACTGAAGCTAGCACAGTCTGAAGGTCGTGTAGGATCTGTGTAAAGGGATCATAAAGCTCACTGCATCTCAGGCAACATGCAACAAATGCCCGTTTCTCACTTTTGGTAGTCCATACAAATGAATCTCAATGTAAAGTGAACAGTATATTGCCTTTAATAACACCTTTATGTTTTATTTGTAATCATTTGACAAAAGAAACTGTCTGCAAGTATGTCATTCACTCCTTCTTAGGACAGCATGATGTCTAAATAATGGAGTTGTTAAGTCCAAAAGCTCACTATACTAAGATAGTAATATTGAATTATTCCTTAAAGTGCCACTCCACTTATTAGTTTTGGTAGCTGCTTAAGAGTTAAAGAAAACCTTTGCCTACGCAAGGAAAGGGAATGGATTTCTTCTGGTGCTTGGTGAGTGACCCATTATTGTCACATGGGGCATGGAGAGTCCTCAGCCCGAGTGAGAGAGGAACAAGTGATCACGTTTGTACTTATTGATTGCCCATTGGTACAGAGACACTTAACTATGTTTCTTTTCTTCTGGATCTCTGTTTTTGAGTTCTAGGGCCTTAGACACCTGTTGTGTCCATTATCAAGGATCCTCCCATCCCTGATAGATAATATATATTATATTATCCATTTCTAATTGAAATATCAGTTTTGGGTGGGCTAAGGAATGCTTATGTGTGACCATACATGGAAAACACTGTAGCCTAAACATCTAACATAATCCTCAATTTGATGCTCTTCCTGCATATCTGGCCTATGTTGGAATATAGTAAAAACATCTACAATTGCAGTCATATTTACATGTTTTCAAAGCAAATAAGGACTATTTTAATAAATGCATTTATTTTGCTAACAAATGTCAATTACACTTGCAAAGTTACAGTTTTTTCTTCAGTTGCAGATGATGATCAATGTGAAGAAATGAAACCACATTCAGAAGATTGTTCAAAGGTAAATAAAATAAATACTACATAATTAATAACTGTATCTTGAAGATCTTTGGTCTAAACAAAAACTTTTCTAGTTTCTTTAGCAAACTAGCTCTGGTTTAGCAAAGTTCTTTAGATTTCTAAACATTATAAACCATTTTCTACCAGTTTCTAAAATTGGAAGGACTGACAATATTTAAATTAAGGAGAGATGCTTGATTAGTCAAGGCAGGTTCTAAAAAAAAGGATTATTTACCTTTCTCTATGATTGTGCACACTTCCTCCCTGCTGGTTTCCGGTATTGATGACCGGTCCCCCCAAAAGCACTACTATTCTCCAGTCATGTTTCCTCTGCTCTCCCCAAAATCAATACACATAATCCAGGACCAGCAGCCACTAATTCTGCATTGTATGTGATGCCATAAGGGCCCACACACATTCCATGATGGGAAGAAGACCGCAGAGCTGTAACTATTGAGTAGGGTAAGCATTTCTTTGTTTTATATCCTCCTAGACTAAATGAACATTATATTCTATATATACAAAGGGGGAACCCACATTTATTTTTATTTTTTTAAGATGACTGGAGTTTAGCTTTAAACCTTACAATAAAAATAATTTTTCCTGTGCCTTTTCTGCTTTAAAACGGAAGTGGAAGTTGGTGGGAGATGTGCTGTGTTTGTATGCACCCTACCCATAACAGATGTTACTGTCAAGGCTGGACCAGTGATAAGTGTCTAACTGGATCACAGCTGCGGAACAGGTGGAGGTTTTATGGGATAAGGAAGTTCAGTGAGCGACTCCCAATTACATTAACTGCTAGAGGGAGACCGCACTCATCATATACTTCCTGTTAAACTGAAGTGAGGAATAGGCTATGATGGATAGCGTTTTTTTACGGTGATTTTATTCAACTCACTGTAGTCGATAATTGGTCGAAGAGTCTGGTCTTTATTTTTGACGAAGAACATTCCAGACCCTGCAGGGGATGAGGAGGGGCTGATAAACCCCTTTTTGAGGTTTTCGTCGAGGTAACTTTTTAGATGCTTCAATTCTGGTTCCGAGAGGGGGTAGACGCGTCCGACGGGTATGGTGCTGCCTGGGAGAAGGTCAATGGGGCAGTCATAGGTTCTATGAGGGGGCAAAGCTTCAGCGGCCTTCTTACTAAACACATCTCTGAATTCCCCATATTAAGGGGGAACTATGGCTGACCCCAACTGAAGTAGTGCTGAGTGTGGGTAACAGGTCTCCCTGCAATAGGGTGAATCAAGCAATATTGTGTTTTGTGCCCATAGGAAGGAGGGTTGATGTAGTTTCAACCACGGTAACCCCAGTATAATGGGGAAATTGGGAGAGGGAATCACATCGAATGTAAGATATTTGGTATGGTTTAGGGGCGTCATAACGCGCAGGGGTTGTGTGACCCTAGAGATGGGCCCTGTGGATAAAGAAGTACCATCAATGAAAGTGACTACAAGCGAGGCATTTTTTGCAAGTGTAGGGATTTTATTTTGGTCAATCAACTGAACATCAATGAAATTTCCACATGACCCGGTGTCGACCATAGCTTCAGTGCGGATTCGATTTTGCTCCCACTGCAAAGTTAAGGAGATAAAAATGTAATTACTTGAGGCAGGGCTGGATGGAATCATTTTGCAGAGGTGATCGCTCTTACCTTCGGTCTTTTTGCGGATCAATGGACAGGATTCCACGATGTGGTCAGGGGCTGCGCAATACAGACACAAGCGATTCTGACGTCTGCAAATTTTTCAGCTTGTGTGAGTGGACCTTTGACTGATCCGATCTCCATGGCCTCTACTGGTTGGACAGGTGGCACCGGAAGGAAGCGGCGGGGCAAGGGTGGCAAGCTAGACATTCTCTCTGCCCGTCTCTCTCTTAAGCGCCGGTCCTCGTCGATGGACCTCATCATGAGTGCCTCTAGGGTAGGTGGTAACACAAAAACATGTAGCAGGTTCAGCAAGATTTGCAATGACTTCGAGAATACTTGCAGTTGTGTGCTCTGAATAGCTCTGGGCTCACAGCGGGGTAGCAGTCTCGATTCGCCTGTTAGTGGTTCAGGGCAGTGATCTGCGTTGACTGTCCAAGGGCAGCCTGTGGGTTCTCTGTTCGGCACTCGACTCTCCACAACGAGAGAACGCCGAGCGACGAACCAGCTGACCCTTTACCCTGGTAGCCGCGCCCCGTGGGAGGAGCCGCCGTGACGTCACGCACGAGACGACCCTTCGCTGGAGCGCGGGGACACGCCGGGTAAGTCTGTGACAGTTACATCCTAGGAGGGAAGAGTGGCTCCTACCTTTTTTTTACTCGCCCACAATCTGTGAATGTTGAAGGTTATGTAGCCCTCACTCATTCATAAGGGGGGGGCATCTGGGTGCCCCTTAATTAAAGGGTACCCCGATGCAAAAACCTTCCTACCAGACCTAACGGGTCTGGTATGAATTGGGGGGGAACCTCATGGTTTTTTTCCCCCCTCTTCTGCTGACTGTTAAAAAAACATTTTTAAACATTTTCTGTCACTTTGCTGCGATGAACGAAACGAACTTTCGACCGGACTACCGCTAACAAATTTTTCCGAATCCAAATCTCGACATGAATTGTATTTCGGACCCGGATCCCGAAAAACGAAATAACGCAAAATCCGAATCAAAACGAATTTTTGGCCAGTGCACATGTCTATATATTACATACCTCCTGATCCCTGGAAAGGCAAACAATTTTGTAGAGTTTTGGGTACAGCAGTAATGAGTTAAACCCTTTGTTAAAGGAGAACTATGAGGTGAGTGATTTTCACTCAACCTCATAGTTCGAGCCGACGTGTGACAATGAAACTGTCACACGTCGGCTCAATAGATCGGGAAGTGAGCGAACACATACCATCGCTCGCTCACTTCTCGATCATGTCCCTGCAGAGAGCCGTGACTGTCACTCACGGCTCCCTGCAGGGATTCCCCCTCTCCCCTGTCCGATCCTCCAGCGCTGACTGGCGGAACAGATGGGGGAGGAGGCGGGTAGATAGGCAGAGCCAGCCTCTAGATAGGCAGAGCCAGCTGTCACTCATGCAGGGAGGACACTAGTGGTCCACGGGAGGACACTAGTGGCCCTAAGGAGAACTATGGGGAAAAACACTTACCCCATAGTTCACCTTTAGGTTTTATTGCTGTCTGTTTCCCATTTGGAAACAGATCGCCCCTCTATTGTCCTAGTGACCATTGTCAGAAGGTGAGGGAAAATCCAAAATTGTGAGTTGTCACTAGAGCAAGATGTAAGAAAAAATCCTCCAGGGAGGACACATGTTCATGTGACAATTCACCAAGATGGGTTTTCATTAACTTTAGGGGAGATTTTCTTTCATTTCCAGTTGCGCCTCTAAGACAGGAAGCAAAAGGAGCTCTCTTCAATGGGGCATATAAATCCTTAATCTAAAACGAAAAAAAGTTGGTTTTGCATATATTTTAAAACATTATATAGTACATATGATTTAACATTTGTTACTTCTGTCTTACCATTATTTAAGGAATCAGAGGAGTTTTACATTATGAACCGTAAAGAGCGTGGGATCTGCCTCATCATAAACAATTTTAACTTTGAAAAGTCAAGACAGAACGGTCCTCAATGTACCCGTTTGGAAAACAGGAATGGAACAGAAAAAGATGAAAGTAAGAACAGCGTTAAACTGAAACTACATGTTAACACTGGGTTATAGCGAGTTAAATTAGATCAATTATTTTGCATACCAAAAAATTATTATGATTTTTTTAAATAATACTTTTAAGAACAATATAGAAAATAGTCCATACACCTAACTGAAATTTCTCCAAGTGCTTTTTGGTCTCCTTTAGAGACACTTTCCATGGATATTAAATGTGAAAAGTGAACAGCACTACCAATATTAAAAAGTGCTTTCCTTTACAATGTGTCTATAGCCAACAAATTCAGATAAAAGTGCATTAAATATTTCAAATGTAGCAACGTATAAATCTCAATAAATATCTCTTCATAAAAGTGGTATAAAAGTGCCAAATCAAACGAATAAATATACTAAAAAAATAAATGTGATAAAAGTGTTAAAACAGATGAAGAAATCTAAAACTTAAAGTGTACATAAAAGATCAATTATTTCTATATAGACAAGTGATAAAAAGTCCAATCCGTGCTCCACACAGCAAACGTGCCTTAATGTAATTCAAAGTTTCAATCACAAATAGTCCACATCATTAAACTTCCACGCTTTTCAGGTGCAAAAATAAGAAGTGTCACTCTACCCTTGCCAAAAATCCCTCTTATCCACACTCAGCAGAGTAATAAGACGATCAGAACATATGTGATACAATCTTGCAAAGCTATCTTCCACCCTCTGAGTCTTGTGCCCCTCTCCACTCCACGTCTTTTGAGAATGTCCTGGATGACGAAACGCATCAAGCTTGTTAAGTTCATACTGCACGATGAGCGTTTTTTTGCTTTTTTAATATGTCATTGTTACCGGAGATTAACCAAACAAATTGACTGTGGTGTGGAGAGGAGCACAAGACTCAGAGGGTGGAAGATAGCTGTGCAACATTGTATCACATATGCTCTGATCATCTTATTAGGGCTAGTTTACACCACCCCCAGCGCGTAACTGGGACGGGCCGAAACGCACTGGGACTGGTGTGAACTAGCCCTTAGCCCTTGCGGATAAGAGAGACTTTTGGCACGGGGAGAGTGACACTTCTTATATTTGCACCTGAAAAGTGTGAAAGTTTAATGACGTTGACTATTTGTGATTTGAACTTTGAATTACATTAACCACTTGAAGACCGGGGTGGTAAACCCCCTTCCTGTCCAGGCCATTTTTCAGTATTCAGCGCTGTGGTACTTTGACTGACATTTATTCAGTCATGCAACACTGTAAGAAAATACATTTTATATCAGTTTTTGGGACAGATAGAGCTTTATTTTGGTGGTGTTTAATCACCACTGGAGTTTTTTATTTTTTTTACTATATTAAGGAAAAATTACCCAAAATTTAGGGGAAAAAAACTGTTATGAAATATTTATTACTAACAATTTTTTTTGTAAAATATAAAAGACGGGGTCATGTCGGGTAAATAATAGAAAAATGTCACCAGCACACAAAAGGTTGAAAAAGCAAAATATTTTATTGCCAATAGCTGTATCTCATTGGCAAGCGCTTTCGGGGCCTTGCCGGGTCCCCTTCATCAGGCTTAGAGATAACAATGAAGTGAAAGACATACAACAATATATACCTAGACATACCAATCAACTGAGTGCTGTGAAACCACTCCCATCCACCTAGGGCGTCGGTATGACATCACACCTGCCGTTAAGTATTTGAAAAGGACGTGTGAAGAATGATGTATATCCCAGCCATATCTATTGAACCATCAGTGACCCCCAACAGCACATATAAGTGTGACTCACCCAGTAGCAAAATACATAGTTTGGGTTAGAGATCGTAAGACCAAGTGCAGTGCAGTATCAAGTGTCAGGGCCGCGAGCGCACATGGAATGAAGCGGTGCTGGTTGCCTCGGCAACATGACGCTATACAGCGGCTCTTAACATCCAGAACCATGGCTGCTTGACCCGCCCTCTCGATCTGACAGCTGTCCCACTGCACAGTATGGATCAGTAGCCCAAGGGCTCACAATGCGAATGACACCACAGTCTGAACAGTCCTTTTTAAAATGTGACTTCTCTGGCTGTCATCCATACATCTCTGTACATCTTAAGACTTATACTTCCTATGTGAAATGCAGTTTCTGCTTAAACCAGTTCCAAAGACTGAATATCCCAAGGGGCACTGTCTAAGTAAAAATGTGTATTATATGCTAACCTGGAACAAGTATAGAGTAAGTAGCTCTGACACTTTTATTTTATTTTTTTATTTTTTTTTTATAAATTCTGTTTTTATTCCAAGAAAAGGTTTTCAAAAAATACAAACAAAGGTACATAACACATAACATTGTCAAACTGTATGTACTGACACTTTTCTAACACTCATGTACAGCATGCTTGTTCTGGAACTGTTACCAAAACCCACTGAAGTCTGACACGGCAGGCATCTGGTGTTTCAAAAGGAGGCCTGCAATGGCAGTCCCCATTCATCTGTAATGAGCCACTAAAAAACTCTGACAACATTTTGTACATCTTCAGAATTATACTTCATATGTGAAGTGCAGTTTCTGGTTAAACCAGTTGCAAACATGTAATATCCCTTGGGGCACTGTCTAAGTACAAATGTGGCTCAACATACAAAGGATGCGTGCATAGTGGAAAAAGGATTTACCCAATCAGTCAGCAGATATTTATCAGAGCTGTCCATATTTAGAAATGTCAAGTTCTGTAGGTATCCCATTGCACTCCTGACCGGTCTACCCCTTGTGAAATGGGTGTGGAAGTGACTGCAGATGGCACCGCCTAAATCCAAGAAGCCACTTACTCAAGTGCATGCCTGAGGAGGATCTGGGTGGAAACTGCTCTCTGGACCTTGGAAGAGATATGTTTGCCCAAGGGCTCAAGTATATTTGTCTAGTTACAGAGGGACAAAAGTCAGATTCAGGGGCAAGGAAACACTGACTGCTCTCAAAGGGTCACATATTTATCTGGCTGTCCTCTGTCCTTCAGCATCTACTTTTGGAGGTCACTCTCATAGGACCTACTAATGATAAAGTATTAATTTTTTGTGCTTTGGCTATCCTCCACCCCTAAACCCTCTTTCCTGTATTTGAGTACTGCAATAAATAGTAAAACCCTAGAGTCTGGATTGTTGATCCAGATGTTTGTCCATGAGCTGTTGAGTCCAGATACAGGGCAAGTAGCCTCAGGACATGTAGGAGAACCAAATATTACCGGCAGTTCTTAGGGGATAAATGCTACATGCTATTGACATTTTCTATTGTAATGGCTGCCACTGCACTCACACGCACCTCTTCACTCACCTCCACTGCACAGGCAAGTACCTATTCACTCGCCACCACTTTAACAGTTTGCACCTATTCCCTTGACTGCACCATTGTAGACTTATTTTTCTCACCACCTCTGCACTGACATGCACTTGTTCACTCATGACACTGCCACAGGACAGGTAAGAGAACCAAATATTACCAGCAGCTCCTTAGGGGGTACATGCTACATGCTCTTGACATTTTCCATTGTAATGGCTGCCACTGCACTCACACGCACTTATTCACTTACCTCTACTGCGCAGACAAGTACTTATTCACTCGCCACCACTGTAACAATGCACACCTACTCCCTTGACTGCACCATCGTAGACTTATTTTGCTCAGCGTCACTGCACTAACATGCATGTGTTTACTCATGACACTGCACTGGCACACACTTCTGTATTCATCCCATTTAAGGAATGGGTACACTTTTTCCAATGGTCAATAGAATACCACATAGAAGGACAGCTTGTATGTAATATCAGAGTTTTGCACTATTTACTGAGAGCTCAGCACTTCTTTTTTTTTTTAGGGAAAGCCTAAATCTAACAAGAGAGCCTTTGCTAGATGCTGACAAGGCTACAATATGCAATGTCTTTCCTTGCAGAATTGCTGGCATGAAATCAAAGCTATATTTGTTTGAAGTAGTACATTATAAAATGTATTTGAGCAGCTTTATTGCTGTGTAATACTCTGGCACATTCATTTTTGAATGTACTCTGGAAATGTCTGATTAAGGACCCAGAGATTATGTTCCAGGAATTTAGATTCATGATTCACCCAAATTAATGGTGCACTCTGGGCAGACATAAAGCCATTGAATTTACACTGACTCAGCTTTTCTGTGCAATGGCTCTAAATTTCATCCTGGCATTCCACTGCACCAGATGGTCCACGTAGCAGTTGTCAGTATTACATAGTAGTACATCTTCTAAATGGCTGTGAATCTGACATTGTAAAAAAGCTAGTGAGCATGGTTCATGCTCGCCTCTGCCATCTCTTGGATTACGCTGCAGCCTCACCAATGCAATTTGGCAAATGAACAAAAAGTTGCACAGCACAAAATTAAAGTGGAACACTAGACAAATGGATATATACATAGCTTAAACATGTACATGTTTACAGTTTTACCCGACAAAGAATTTGTCATTTTGGCCCAACGTTCAGGTGAAAAACACGACTCTGCCAGTCATGTAAGGGGAACTACAACCTTCTATCCCTTACAGCCAAGGAAGGTGCCATATTTACCTCTATTTGGATTGCAGTTGCCCTGGTGCTGCCCATGTGGTGGTATGGCACCAGCCACTTGAGAACAGAAATAAGCACACTGGCAAACTTAACATTTGGCGTGCCTTAAAAGTAACTGTTTTGGGAGACATTAAATTGATGGGTAAAGTTCTGTTTGCTGCTACTTCCTGGGTCAACTTTAGCGCTACCTTGGTCAAGATACCTGCTTATCAGAGGCAGGAATGCGTATCCACTGTCAAGAGAACAGGCTGGAAGCAGAGAGGTAGCATAGGCAGCTGAACCTAGAAGTGTGTACATTTTCTGGTTTGCAATGTGGCTGAGACATGTACAGTTCAAGACTGACTGAAAAAATTGGCAAATCCATCGGCAGGTAAACAGTAAAAACATTTGCATTACAACCGTGTAATTAGTTGTTTACCCTGAGTAACATACAACATTGTGAAAAACGTTAGAAATCCTGCTTCGATATTTGTCTAGTTACAGAGGGACAAAAGTCAGATTCAGGGGCAAGGAAACACTGACTGCTCTCAAAGGGTCACATATTTATCTGGCTGTCCTCTGTCCTTCAGCATCTACTTTTGGAGGTCACTCTCATAGGACCTACTAATGATAAAGTATTAATTTTTTGTGCTTTGGCTATCCTCCACCCCTAAACCCTCTTTCCTGTATTTGAGTACTGCAATAAATAGTAAAACCCTAGAGTCTGGATTGTTGATCCAGATGTTTGTCCATGAGCTGTTGAGTCCAGATACAGGGCAAGTAGCCTCAGGACATGTAGGAGAACCAAATATTACCGGCAGTTCTTAGGGGATAAATGCTACATGCTATTGACATTTTCTATTGTAATGGCTGCCACTGCACTCACACGCACCTCTTCACTCACCTCCACGCACCTCCTCCATAGGCAAGTACCTATTCACTCGCCACCACTTTAACAGTTTGCACCTATTCCCTTGACTGCACCATTGTAGACTTATTTTTCTCACCACCTCTGCACTGACATGCACTTGTTCACTCATGACACTGCCACAGGACAGGTAAGAGAACCAAATATTACCAGCAGCTCCTTAGGGGGTACATGCTACATGCTCTTGACATTTTCCATTGTAATGGCTGCCACTGCACTCACACGCACTTATTCACTTACCTCTACTGCGCAGACAAGTACTTATTCACTCGCCACCACTGTAACAATGCACACCTACTCCCTTGACTGCACCATCGTAGACTTATTTTGCTCAGCGTCACTGCACTAACATGCATGTGTTTACTCATGACACTGCACTGGCACACACTTCTGTATTCATCCCATTTAAGGAATGGGTACACTTTTTCCAATGGTCAATAGAATACCACATAGAAGGACAGCTTGTATGTAATATCAGAGTTTTGCACTATTTACTGAGAGCTCAGCACTTCTTTTTTTTTTTAGGGAAAGCCTAAATCTAACAAGAGAGCCTTTGCTAGATGCTGACAAGGCTACAATATGCAATGTCTTTCCTTGCAGAATTGCTGGCATGAAATCAAAGCTATATTTGTTTGAAGTAGTACATTATAAAATGTATTTGAGCAGCTTTATTGCTGTGTAATACTCTGGCACATTCATTTTTGAATGTACTCTGGAAATGTCTGATTAAGGACCCAGAGATTATGTTCCAGGAATTTAGATTCATGATTCACCCAAATTAATGGTGCACTCTGGGCAGACATAAAGCCATTGAATTTACACTGACTCAGCTTTTCTGTGCAATGGCTCTAAATTTCATCCTGGCATTCCACTGCACCAGATGGTCCACGTAGCAGTTGTCAGTATTACATAGTAGTACATCTTCTAAATGGCTGTGAATCTGACATTGTAAAAAAGCTAGTGAGCATGGTTCATGCTCGCCTCTGCCATCTCTTGGATTACGCTGCAGCCTCACCAATGCAATTTGGCAAATGAACAAAAAGTTGCACAGCACAAAATTAAAGTGGAACACTAGACAAATGGATATATACATAGCTTAAACATGTACATGTTTACAGTTTTACCCGACAAAGAATTTGTCATTTTGGCCCAACGTTCAGGTGAAAAACACGACTCTGCCAGTCATGTAAGGGGAACTACAACCTTCTATCCCTTACAGCCAAGGAAGGTGCCATATTTACCTCTATTTGGATTGCAGTTGCCCTGGTGCTGCCCATGTGGTGGTATGGCACCAGCCACTTGAGAACAGAAATAAGCACACTGGCAAACTTAACATTTGGCGTGCCTTAAAAGTAACTGTTTTGGGAGACATTAAATTGATGGGTAAAGTTCTGTTTGCTGCTACTTCCTGGGTCAACTTTAGCGCTACCTTGGTCAAGATACCTGCTTATCAGAGGCAGGAATGCGTATCCACTGTCAAGAGAACAGGCTGGAAGCAGAGAGGTAGCATAGGCAGCTGAACCTAGAAGTGTGTACATTTTCTGGTTTGCAATGTGGCTGAGACATGTACAGTTCAAGACTGACTGAAAAAATTGGCAAATCCATCGGCAGGTAAACAGTAAAAACATTTGCATTACAACCGTGTAATTAGTTGTTTACCCTGAGTAACATACAACATTGTGAAAAACGTTAGAAATCCTGCTTCGATGGATTATATAATAACTCACAAGGTAAACTGTGGTGAGAGGAAACACAAAGGTTGCCACTATTGACCTCTGCTACTGAAAATAATAGTTGCTTGGATGTTATGCTAAACCTTTCTAACAAAAAAAAAGAAGGGTAACATAGCTCACAACCGTCCTTTAAAGGGAATGTCAAATCTCTCTGTCCCTCTTTCCTCCTTAGTTGTCCCTCTTTTTGGTCTTATGTACAGATCCCCATAAAAGATGTACTACCTAACTACCAAGAGTGTTACACTACATTACATCTGTCATATATCCTCCAAATGATTGCATTTGTTATTGTAAAACGATGATGTTTAGGGCAGTATTTCTCTCTCTTTTTTCAGTCATTACACCCTTTAAAAGTATGCAAAATCTTAATATTACTATTATACAGGATTTATATAGCGCCAACAAAATAAGGAAGACATTACAAACACAATACAATTCAAGACAAGATGGTAGGGAGGGGCCTGCCCGTGAGGGCTTACAATCTAAGAGGGAGGGGCAAGTGATACATGAAAAGGTAGCTGTGGGGTACCCTTTCACATCAGTCCCCCCTTGAAATTAGAAGCCTCCTTTTACGTTAGGAGACCCCTTCACATCAGAATTCCTCCTCTCACACTAGTCATGATGCTGTCCAAAACGTTTGAGGCACCCCTGAGGAAGCCAGAAGGCACCCTGGTTAAGAAATGTTGGTTCATGTTATAAAAAACAAACTTGTGCGTTTAACGTTTTTTTGTTGATTTATTCTGCATTAATGAAGACAATATTGGGGCCTTTCTTTTCTTACATACTTTGAGTGGAATTTATCAAAACTGGAGCAGACCAAATCTGGAGCAGTTGCCCATAGCAACCAGCTTTCATTTTCAAAGTTTAATTGAACACACTGAAGAGAGAAGCTGATTGGTTACTATGGGCAACTGCTCCAGATCCTGTCTGCTCTGGTTTTGGTAAATTCACCCCTTTGTGCTGATGGCTTTCCTTCATCTAATCTCAGAAAGTTGGAAGTATGAATATAGATTTTAGGAGTTCTGACTTTACTTACTGCATACTTGTTCTAGGTCAGTGCAATTAACATTATAAGTTCAAAAATGGCAGCCCCATAATTACTCTAACTCGAGTTACTCTACCCACAGGTTTGTTTTAAAGGTATAATAAGAGACCCTTTGACTTTAGCACAGTTCCATTGTTTCTAGAGCGTTAGCTTCACAGATGTATTGCCCTTGCTGCCTAGAGTTGCTATGTAACAGCTTAACATATATAGTATCTAAAGCATTTTTTGTTTTACAGCTGTCATTATAAGAGGAATAAAGGGGATATTCACCATCTGTTTAGGAGATTTCCTTTCACTTTCTGTTGTGTTTCCCAGACAGGAATTGAGGAGACATACTCTATCCAAAATGTAAAAAAAAAAAAAAAGTTTTAGCTTTACATATGCTTTAAGTGGTTATTTGGAGGTTTGTATTGTTTTCCTTGTTTAGAATTTATAACGGATTATTTTAGTTAAAAGAATGTTTAGAATGCATATTCTGTTTCTTTTACATATATACCATCAGAAATCTCCTTTTCTCTGACAGAGTCACTCAATGAGGTATTTTCCAGACTTGGTTTCCGTGTTGAGGTGAAGAATGACCTTGATGGAAATGAGATTCTCGAGACTGTTGGATCGTACAGCAAGCAGAACTTTGATAATAATGACTGTTTTATCTGCTGCATTCTGTCCCATGGAAACACAGGATTAGTTTATGGCACAGATGGGCAAGGTGTAGCCATCAGTGATCTTACCTTTTGTTTCCGTAAGTGCTTATGCTCCTCATTAAATGGAAAGCCCAAACTCTTCTTTATTCAAGCATGTCAAGGAGTGCAACCTCAGAATTGTGTTCCTGTGGAATCAGATGCCTGTAATGCCTCTCATGTGGATAATGTGACAAGCAATGACCTGATTCCAGGAGAACCAGATTTCCTGCTTGGGATGGCCACCGTATTGCGCTGCTCAGCCTTCCGTCATCCTAATGAGGGTTCCTGGTACATTCAGTCTCTGTGCAGTGAGCTCAGTGCACATTATCACAGGTAATATGTTATCCTGTTATTTTTTTTTCTCCTGTTCTGCAAGATACTGTTATGATATTTCTGGTTGAGACTCTGATTTTTATCAATATGCTAATGAAGAAAACATAAAAAAGAGTCTTGTCTGAAAGATCCATTGTGACAATAACACAGCACACTAGGTTTTTACTGTATACATTAGGTTTTTATACATAAGATAAAAAAGGCAGAGCTAGCAAATAGGATAGTATAACTCTAGAAGGTCAGCAAATTACTTGAAGTGGCGAGACTACATTTCTAAGAAAGGAGAGGTCTAAGAGCAATCTTGTGTAAAAGTTCAGTCTTTACTCAAAATGGATTTACAGTTCCTTTATACAAAATGGATGCTCCTGTGCTTAATATGAACATTATAGTGGATTTATTTTTCAGTACTTATAGCCATTAGATGAAAGTTGCCCAATCTGATATGATTAGGTAATGATTTTATACGTACGTGGATCAGGAAGGTGCTTGGAAAAATTAATTTGACGTGTTAAAAAAAAACCTTTGAAGATGCTTAAAGTGATATTAAAGCCTCCTTTTTAAAAAAAATATTTCCTACAAGGAGACCCACCTTTGCTTGAGGCTGTTGCAGTTTTCTTTAAAAGTTTTACATTTCTCGTCCCCGCAGCAATCTTCCCCCCGCCCCCTGTACGGGTGCCACCATCGTTCTAATGGAGGCACCTGTGCGCGCTCCTGCCCGCAGTGCTGTGTGCGTCCTTAGACACACACAGCCCTGTGGCAGGCCACGCCCCTTCTCTCTATAAATGATGGCACAAGGAGCCTATGGCTCCTCTGCCATCAGTATCCTCCCCCCCACAACCAGGAAGTTCGGGGAACGGAGGATCGCTTCAGGACCGGCGGTGGGGACGAGCGTAGCTGACAGTTAAGTGTGGGGGGGACTGAGGTAGAAAAAAGGTGCTGGGCCGTTTTTAACCTAATGCAGAGAATGCATTAAGGTAAAGAAAACGCCCAGACCGCCTACAATTTGCTGCCATTGCCACTCTGTCTCTGTAGGGTGAAAGTTGCTTTTAAAGCAGGATGAAGGAGGCCTGCTGAAGTATTTTGGCTCATAAATAACCACACTGAAATGAAATACAAGAGAATAGCAAATTAGCATTCATTTTCAAAAAACAAATTAATGGGTCTAAAAAAAATACTCTATAATTGACATATACTTAAACGATTAAAGTTGAACTCCAGGATTTTGAAAAAGTTAATCCTTGCAGTGGAGCTACCCCTACACTGCAAGGATTAACTACTCGTTTTTTCCAGGGAGCGGAAATAAAGAAAATATACTTACCTGATCCTCAGTCCTGCTTGGCTGCCTCTTCTCCCCTGGGTCCGGCAGTGTAAGGATCCGTGATATCATCATATCTAATACAGTGTATTGGACGTGAGGATGCCGAGGGACATACCACAGCAAAAGCAGAGGGGGTGAGAGGTGAGCTGTCACTGCCACAGGACCAAGGATCAGGTTAATATATCTTTTTTATTTTTGCTCCCCTGACAAAATTAGCAGTTAACCCTTGGTGTGTGTGTGTGTGTGTGTGTGTGTGTGTGTGTGTGTGTGAAAGGGGGGGGACTAGTCCCACTGCATGGGTTACATTTTCAAAATCTAAGACTTATTCTTTAAAGTTAAACCCAGCATTGTATTTTGCAGTTCTAGACCGAAGCTGAAGGGTGCTGCCCAAATCTTGTTAAATGCTTGTAAACTGATGATCATAACACTATATTTTAGAGTTTAAAATGATACAGTGCCTGTGTGTACAGCCAGCCCCCCGTCTACTGTGAGAGCCATTGTACTGGTTTTCTACTGATTGTGAAAGATGTAACTAATGACAATGCAATGCTGACATCGCAGGGCATGTGACACAGCACTTCCAGGCTATTACGCCAGATGTAAACATAATTTTCATCCTTTTCTTGTCTCCTAGAGGTGAGGACATACTCTCCATTCTTACAAAGGTAAATGAGCAACTGAGCAAGAAGTGTGTTTCAAATAAAACGCAAATGCCACAACCCTGGACAACACTCAGCAGAAAGCTTGTCTTCAATTTACCAGCCAGCCCTGTGTCCCATATCACACCCAACGACAACTAACTCCGGTACTTAGCATTAATGTTATTAAACCATGCTGCTTCGTTAGCCTACACAGAGGCTCTTACCTCATTGCTCAGGATGTGAACTGACTGCATTCAACGTTCAAGTCACAGAACAGGAATCTGCAGTGTTATAATTTACAGCATCTCACACTTTTTCAGGTGGATGTGAACCGGTGTAAGATTGATGCTAATATAGACATTACTACAACATATTAAAAAGGGAAAAAAATAATGAATGTTTTACTGTTATGAATTAATAAAATCTGATTTGTTGCCATTGGTTTCTGTACTTTGCACATCATTATTGCTGTTCACTGTTCTAATGCGTAAGTGTGTTTTTTTTTAAGAGACCAGTCGCACTTGTGCGCTAGAATGCAAGTGTTAATGCGCATTGCCGCAACGCATATGTGGTGTGTTGCAGTGCCATTCATTGTAAGTCCAACGCACAATGTAACGGACCAAAACACACAGTCACACACAGTACCTTGCATTGTTGGACGCTGCATGTTTAAAATGGGTAATTTACTTTTTTTCATCCATTGTAGTGTGTTGGAAGAACTTCATAAATAATTGGTTGCCCTAATGACTTATTGCACTGCGATGGAACACTTTAGAGTGTATGGACCCTAAAGGATAACAATGTAAAAATGTATTTTCGCCTCCCTAAAATAAATATTAAGGTACATACAGAGGTAGCAGTTTATTCCAGATTGTATTATTATGGTCAGCAATAACTAATGTATATATCAAAATAGGTTCAGATAATTTGCATGAATGCTTGAATGTGAGAGCGGTAGTGGTAATGTTCATGATGATGATAATAGAATACCGGTGAGGTTGTTATAAAAGTGGGATATTACAGAAAAGTGATCAAGGTACTGGCAGATATTGGTGATATTGATATGTTATGCCAATTTTTAGTAGCTTGTGATGCTGGTATAAGAAAGTAGTGTGATTAAAGTAAATCTTTCCTAAGATTTATGGACGCTGCTATTGCTGACCTCCTTGAAAACAGCTAGTTTCCTGACGGTTATGCTGACCCTCTGGCTTCAAACTTTTCTGCATTTCTGACCCAGAGGAAGCATTCATTTTAGAAACGTCAGAGTGAAATTAGAAGTCCTTCTCTGCACAGCTCAATATTTGAAGCAGAACTCCAGCCAAAAATAGCAAGCTGAAAATGAATAGCTCATTAAAAGATGCTTTTTTCTGGATATTCACCATTGATCCAGTGATTGCCCCTGCAGTGTGACATTAATGAGGTCCGGTGAACCCCAAAGTGAGTAATCAGAATGGGGAGTTGTACTAAACCCAGTGCCCCCATTAATTCTCCGAAATTCATAAGTCTGTGATGAAACCATCAGATTCAGATCATGTACCTGTAGGATCAGACATAGAGCTGTCACTTTTCATATAACTCTCACACTAGAACACAGCTCAGCTTGAGACACAATCAGGCTATAAAAAATCTCATTAAATTTAATTAGCAGAAGATCGTAAAAATTCTAGCAGTATCCTTAATCCCACTTTGCCAGAACCCACACAGCCTGTCAATAGGCCCAGTCAAAAATGGCCAATTGGAAACCCATTAGCAGCATGTCTCATAATCCAGGCTTGCTAATAGCAGTCATAAAATGCCTATCTGGTATGTGATTTCACAGTACACACCTGCAGTCTGGTTTTTTAACTACCCAGAGTTAAGTTTCATCCATAATTAATGCTACCATGGTGCTACATTAAGTATCTACACAAATGTATAAGTGAATAGCAATCAGTTTGAGACCAAACACCCCGGCAGAAAGCTGAATAGACACATTACCCCCTCTAAAGGAAGCCTTACATAAAATCCATAACATGTCTGATGTTTATCAAATCATGATTTAATTCTATGCTATAAAATGTTGGTTGTTGGACTGTAAAGCATGGCCATCCGGAAATATTGATGCATTTAGAAAATCTTCCGTTAGGGTGCCTGTTGTAATACCATAAAACACTTCAACACTGCTCAAAACCCTTGGATTGGTTTTATCATATCTGTAAAAACCCTCTGTACGGTCAACAAAGCCTGCTGCATCTGCAGCTCAAAGCTCTCAATTTTCCATCCAAACTATGCACGAATGCTGAGAGTCATTCTGAGGGCCAGTGAGTCTGTCAGAAGCGGATTCATGCTGAAGTGAATCAGACTCTACTGGAACCAAAGACCAGACAAACCTTGTTAAGAACTTTTCCCTTTAAGTATAGACTGGATTGCTCTATGGTCTAGCACATACCAATCTATCGATAGACTGGTATATGCTGGACATGCCTGTCCCCAAAAATTCAACCAGATTTGGGTCCTGTGGTTTCAGCGGTTACTTTCTCTCAATGAGATGCCTGATGTTGATGCTTAAATTGATGTTGCCATATTGTTTTAGGAAAGGTACCAAGCCTTGAGGGGGGGAGGAATTGTATGCAAGTGTGTGTGAGTGTCTGCCTGCATTTGCCATTATTTGTAACCATTTACTCTGCTCTGTTGTCCAGGGATGTGACATATAAATGTGTACCACTTAAAGTCAAAATGCAAAACAAATGCCTTTAAAAAAAAATAAAAAAAATTAAAGTGTATTATACAGGTGAAACTCGAATAATTAGAATATCGTGCAAAGTTAATTTATTTCACTAATGCAACTTAAAAGGTGAAACTAATATATGAGATAGACTCATTACATGCAAAGCAAGATAGTTCAAGCCGTGATTTGTCATAAGTGTGATGATTATGGCTTACAGCTCATGTAAACCCCAAGAACCCCAAATCCACAACCTCAAAAAAGTAGATTATTACATGCAATCAATAAAACAAGGATTGTACATAGAACAATATGGGACCTCTGAAAAATACAAGCATGCATATGTACTCAGTACTTGGTTTGGGCCCCTTTTGCAGCACTTACTGCAATTACTTTTGCACGATATTCTAATTATTCGAGTTTCACCTGTAGGTGTAGAGTTGGTAAAGACAAATTGCTATATGGGTGTATGGGCAGAAGAGTAAGGGTTTAGTGGGTAAGTAGAGGTGACACTGTATGACAGTGGTAGGACTGCTAGTAGTGATATTGGTATATGCTGATCGTGAACAAAGATGTATGGCAGTACCTGATTGGGTAGTGGAAGTATGGTACTAGGCATATCAATATAGTGGTTATGGTTGGATTAGTAGTGGTGATATCAGTATACAGATAGTCACAGTTTAAATAATTCATAACCATTATTATACTAAAAACTTTTATTCAGACATAATGATTTCTTTTTAAGTTTAGCAAATAAAACTATATGAAATGTAAATAAAGTATTTTCATAATGCAACACTAAGACAATATATAATTTATAGGCCATAACATGTAAAAAATATAACAGAATTTATTACATATAAGACAAACATTATGGGGTCTGTTTATAAAATAAACTGGTATAGCTTATTCATTTGCATGGCCACTCGTTCTGTGCAAGTTAAACAGCTATTGTAAGAATGACAGAAAAACTAATATTCTTAGTGTATTTTCTCCTCGGATCAAATGTTCTTCATTAGGTTCACTTATATAGAACGAGATACAATGCATTTATTTCCTATGATCCTTAGCTCCATTCTAGTGGTCAAAATGTGGTATTTTCCTAATTGAAGAAAGTGTGGGCAGAAGAGAAATTACTTAAGGTTAACTTGCACAGAATAAATATACATGCCGATTCATTGGATAAATAAGCTATATGTTTACAATTACAAGTCTGTTCTAGTCCATACACATACAAATGTAATAACTGATATAGGAATTTATTCTCAAAAATTGCATCATTTGAAGAGTTATATACAAATTTTGAATATGCATCTTCTATATACAGTATATTTATATACACTGTATATTTTGACACATTTTACAGAAATAAAGCACAAGCTGTCAAAAAAAAAAGCTTTACATCTTCTATGTTCATAGACAGACAGACTGTGGTTGCCGCAGAAAGGTTCAGGAAGGTTATAGTAACAGAAGGGTGAATTCAGTTACACAGACCAAATAATAGAGCCCCATTGTTGTTTGTCTATTAACAAAAAATATGACCAGGACAGGAAGTGATATTTGGCCTGAGTCCCATAACATCCTAGCTCCTACCTTCTAGGTCTTTTAAAGATGTTAGCTGTGATAACCGCCATGGAATGGTTAGGAAGGCAACAATGTTTGCAGATTTAGAAGCTTGTATGCTATGAAGGTTTTGGGGACTTTTTTTCTGAATTCTCAGTATAAAAGGGAAATCTTTTTCTGTACAATTTTGGCATGAATACAGATTTATCAGAAAATGTAACTCCTATTCTGTCACAGTTTTAATGCTCTTGTGCAAAAAATATTCACTCTTCCAGCCTCATGTATCATATTCGATATTCTGCTGTGTTACTACTTTCTCATTTTTTTTTCCATTTCTGGTGTAAATAGAGAGAAGGGAGGGGGCAGGTTACAAGCAATCTGTTTCCTCCTCTGACCCCAATGCCTTCATGTTAAATTCTGGTGGTACAGGGGGAAACCCAGTGCTATCCTTTTCCATGCGCCCAGCGAAACAAGCTTACTTCATGGCTTACAACCGCAAAGACAGAACAGTGAGCTACTACTAGACATGTGCAGTTCAGTTCGTTCTGAATCGATTTTCGGACGAAATTTTGTAAATTCGGACATTCAGATATAACAAATGCAAACGAATCCGAATTTCTGATTCCGAAATTCGTTAGCTTTGGGGGTGAGCGCTACATACATGTAAATAACTAGCTTGCTGCCAAAGTTTTTATTATAAAATAATTTTTTTGTAAATATAAATAGTACTTTGCATAAATAGATAGTGCCACATGTATACCCAGAAAGGTCTATATACTTCCAACTCTGGCAGCTCTATGCCAGCATGTGGTAGGAGAGGTCTCCTGATATGGCTTTCCGGCACATCCAACTACCCTGTTTCCCTGAAAATAAGACCTACCCTGAAATTAAGACCTAGTACTATTTTTGGGAATTGCTAAAATATAAGACCTACCCTCAAAATAAGACCTAGTTGTGACCATTTCCAGGGCCGCTGGTGGCATAAGGGGGAACTTGAAGAACTGCGGGAGAGAATCAGCGGTGCCAACGAAGCCAGCGCTAGAGGAAGCGAGGCGGCAGCGAAAGGAGCAGAGCCGCATAAGCCGATGCTTCCTCTATAGCGCCGCCTCCTGTCACAGGCGGAGTGATACCA